TTCGTTTCACGATCCACCACAAACCACCTCAAAATATCTGAGTTGAGAAAAATCGTGGATTTCCGGCTTATCCTTATGATATTGTTGTCCCACTACTCATAATTTTTTTCAGAACGACTATGCAGAACACGTTAGTAACCGACGAGAGGAAATGACCGTTATTTTCGTTCAACTGTGCGATCAGAACAAATTTGTCGACACGTTGAACTCTAGCTCATGTTCCGACAGTTCTTTAGGAGTGTCACTGCCACCCATTAACGCTGATCCTCTCGTTCCTTACGTGGATCTGAACGGCTTAAGTTGTGAGAGCCAAGCAGAAATTGAGGTTTTATTGACGAAATGTGCTTTACCTAGTGGTGCGTCTTCTTGATGACTGTGTTGTCTGTGGCGTGCTTGTATTCTATTTCTGTGTTTATAATTCCGAGAACTAAGCGTTTTGGGCTGTTTTAGTTTATCCAAGATGTGAGTTCTAACTTTGTACATAGATGCTTTATATATAGAGAGGATTGCTGCAATACAACAATTCGAGTATCAGTCTGAAAATTCTGTGGCAGTGTATAAGCAAGCAAAATTGGGCAGGCTTGCTAAAATTTGGATCATTGGTTGAGGTTGTAAAAATTAAGTAACAGTTAGATACAAAATATTTGGAGCAAGAGGTAATATGTGTTCATGTTGCAACAAAACTGTTATACTGTTCAATCACTACTTCTGTAGGCATCCACAGGGAGGAGTGGGTCAATTTCACAATAGGTTAGATCCGAGCAGTCTGAGGCTGCGTTCATACTTCGCGACTCCGAAGATTAAGATACTAGGCGATAGGATGTTAGGACATAGCAGGATATAGGGAGAGAGAGGTTGTGGTACGTATTGATTAGGGTAGTAAGTGCTAGTACTAGATTTTCGGAAAAATCTTGCGCATATGCGGTTTTTTTTTTGAAATTTATTCTACAGTCAACAAATAACAAATGTATGTCCCACCATTATCGCCAACAATTGTTTCTAAACAGCAAATTGTGAATGCCGTCTGCTTGGAAATCCTGAGCTGCTGAGGCGAGAAAACAACCCGAAGAGGTCCTTCCCGAGAGGTTTGGATCATCGTACAATACCCCTACCAGTTGTTTCGACGGCAACAAGATCTGCTGAACCAAGCGGGTCAGATCGTCCCATTAGGAGATTTCTGCTGGATTTTCGTCGTAAATCGTGGACGAGCGTTGCCGAGAAAAGT